AAAATTATTTTCGAATACACGATGAATCAAAGAAAAGTGCGCGTTAAATCCTGGGGTGGACGTGCTGTCAAATCAGCCTTTTTAATTCTTGTATGAAATTGGTCCCAAACGTAAACAAACCCTGTAGGTTTCTTATGGCTTGATCCAGTTATGCGAGGTCGGCGACAATTGCTGTCAAATACAATTGATATTTCGATATTGTTGAAATAAACATCAAATCTCATTAATTGAGCCTCACTGCGAGAATAAACTCACGTGCGAATGAGGCAAACAACATTCACGCTTGAGATTCTCATGCATATTCACGCACTCACACTCACAACGCCAAAACATCATTCCAGCTTTAAACTCATAAAAACTACGTCAATTGATGTCATGCCTATACATGTTGTGTTAGTTTTCCATTATCATTATCATATCATCCATTTTGAAGTAAAGTAGGTTTACCCATTAAATGGGTAAAAAATACCCATTAATGAGTAACGTTTACCCACTAATGGGTAACAATTACTCATTTATGTGTATATTTTTTACCCATTAAATAGGTTAACCTACTTTACTTCAGAATGGGTGCAATTGTACCCATTAATGGGTACTTTCCAGTTACAGTGTATTAAATTTTATTTGGTGAATTTTCACTTATCTTTGACAGAAGGAAAATTTTCAAATAAACCTGCTAAAACAGCAAAATTATTTCTGACAGGCAAGGTATCAGTTTTGACAGACCCGTTCTCAAAAATCGGCCGATCAACAACAGATGGATTTTCAAACATTTTAAATTATTTTCATAGTTTCAAATTTAAGAGAAAACTTTACCAAATGGAACACAGTTTAAGCACAAACGAAGTGACAGACGACTAACTGGCGAAGAAATCCATTAAAATAATGTGGTTCGCTGTAATAGAATTTTATTAGAAGCTTGTGCCATCAGCCACCAGATGGGCTAGTATTTTTGTTTTGATTTGAACAAAGTTGATTTTATGTGCGATGATCTTTGACAGTGTGCAAAGAGTGTATCATTTTGTCATTTTTTTATGCATTTCAGTTTTGAGTAGAGTGAAAGAGATAGAACCAAAACATTCTAGTACATTTGGTGAAAATGCTAGTACAATCCAGTAGTAGACCCAAAATAGCACCGACAAACCGACGAGACAGCCCATACAAGCTTCTTTCCAATTCTTGCCCATGACGCCGTATTTGAAATACATTAAACACTACCGACATCTACTCATCCTATCGCGTCATCCATGAGTTAGGACACGAACCCACGTATAATTTATGTTGCCTTTGTTTGCGTCTCCCCTCGTTTGACAGGTCTTATAGCCCGTTTAAAGTTCGAATCGCTCGTCTGACAATTCGAATTGTGGACAAACGAAATGCTCATGTGGCATGTCGGTTCGTCGGTGGTAGTAGCAACAATCAATACGAAACTAACGATTTTTAACTGGCTCACTACTATTGGTCCCAACACGCAGAAAAAACTATAGTCGTAACAAAAATATTTGAGGTAAATTTAAACGTAAACTCAGTTTGTTCTGGCCACAAACATAAGTTAGGTTGATTTCAAACGTATTCCATGTTTGAAGTCATGTGAAATCAATGTTTAAAATAAAAATAATGTTACGTTTATTTCAAAAATATTCGTGTTGAAAATAAACGTATTTATTTTTGTTTGGTTTGACAGCTATGCGAACAATCATAAATATGTTTATTTTGGAATTATTTTAGTAGTTGAGTGCAAGGTAAAGCAAAATAAAACGGTTTGCAAAGAAATGAAAAAAAAGATCTTCGGGCAGGGCATCTTAATTCCTACTCTTTTTCGGGTGCGATTAAGGGTGACCTGTGGGTATTGGGGTCCTGGTCCGGGATGCGAGGACCCGTCGGGGTGGGTGTCCGGGGGTTCCAGTTCAGTGGAACCGGTGAAAATTTGTTATTAGCGTCGTTTTGCCGTTTCTGCCTCGGTTTCTGCCACTGGTCCTCATACCGGTTTCTTTCCATGTTCGATATCGGAGGAGGATCCGGAATGGATTCGGAATGGATGGCCGTTTTCTGTTGAGGTTGAGCAAAGCTGGGGCAACTTTTTCCGAATGTAACAAGAAGGAAATAAAAAGGCATGACACGCTTAAAACCGTTTACGCAAATCCTATATTGTTGAAATAAACATGCTTTTGAATTTAATTCAAACATAAATATTTTAGTTTTAAACATGCTTTCAATTCACTTTGAATAATTCATAAACATTTATATTTTTGTTTTTAAATGAACAAAATTCGTATCCGTGAAGCAAATCGATTAACGTACCCCATTCTAGTATAAATTCCAGTACTACGCTATGTTTGTTTTGATTTACTATGAAATTTTGACAGATAAAATGAGGGGTTCGTGGCTTTTCCTATGTTTCTTTCATAACGAATCAAACAATCATAGTGTAGTACTAGAATTTCGTCTAGAAGGGGGTTCGTTAATCAATTTGCTTGGGACCAACAGGCTAGTCACGCAGTGAGCCAATTTAAAATCCTTAGTTTCCACCGGTTGGTAGTAGCACAAACGAAGTGACAGACGGAGCGGCTCGAAAACTTTGGTGACTAACCTGCTATTTCAATTTTTCAGTGTACCACATGGCAACACCACTACTACTAGATTGTACTACATGGCAACACTACTACTGGATTGTACTAGCATTTTCACCAAATGTTTAAGAATGTTTTGGTTCTATCTCTTTCACTCTACTCAAAACTGAAATGCATAAAAAAATGACAAAATGATACACTCTTTGCACACTGTCAAAGAATCTTTATACACAAAATCAACTTTGTTCAAATCAAAACAAAAAACTAACCCATCTGGTGGATGATGGCATAAGCTTCCAAGAAAATTCTATTACAGTGAACCACATTATTTAAATGGATTTCTTCGCCAGTTAGTCGTCTGTCACTTCGTTTGTGGTAGTAGTGTTGCCAAGAGTGTTGCCATGTGGTACACTGAAAAATTGCAATAGCAGGTTCGTCACCATAGTTTTCGAGCCGCTCCTCTGTCACTTTGTTTGTGGTTTAAGTATATCGGTAACTCTAAGACTGGAAGGCCCCGAAGAGACGTGCTCATCTTTTTGACTCAGCTCCGGTACTATGTTCGGTCCCAAGCTAAACGATGCACCCCTCGAAACATAGGAAAATTCACGAACCCCTGATTTTATCTGTCAAACTTTCATAGCGAATCAAAACAAACATAGTGTAGTACTAGAATTTCGACTAGAATGGGGTACGCTTATAGATGTACTTGGGACTAATAGCAACCGGTGGAACTAACGATTTTAAATTGGCTCACTACTTGACTAGCCTGTTGGTCCCAAGTAAATCGATTAACGTACCCCATTCTAGCCGAAATTCTAATACTACACTATGTTTGTTTTGATTCGCTATGAAAATGTGACAGATGAAATGAGGGGTTCGTGGATTTAAAAATTTAACTAAACGCAGGCAACGGCTGTAATTAAATTAATTCCATTAACTACTGCTTCAATTAGATTAATTACACAATAAAGAACATTAACTACTCTTTAACTCCATTAATTATAGTTGAAATTTCGTAATTAAAGTACATTAATTACATTTTCAATACTTTTAATTACATTAATTATGGATAGATAATTTTAATTACCGTCAGTACTACTTCAAAACGCAGTAATTACTTTAAGTACTTTTGATTGCATTTTAAATTCAACGCACCGGTTCTTTGTAATGCGTGCCCCTCGGAGCCAATTTAAAATCGTTAGTTTCCACTGGTTGGTTTAAGGCTGTGTTCCATTTGATCTCGCATTTGATGAATTTTCACTAAAATTTGACAGATACAAAATTTTCAAACAAACCTGATATTGTACCAGACTTATTTCTGACAGACCAGGAATCAATTAACCACTTTATTCGAGCACTTAAAATGATTTTTTCTTCTAGAACCTCGAGAAAAGTAGCCAACATTTGTGCGTTTAATAAAAAAATAGAAATTATTTGGTCCAGTTTTGTGAAATCGCTGGTAGAAAGTCACGCCAAAACTGCTTGACAAAGAGGTAAATTTTGACAAACACATTCTCGAAAATCGGAGATCAACAAAAGAGGGATTATCGATCATTATAATTTATTTTCGAAGTGTCACATTTAAATGAAAACTTACCAAATTTAACTCGTATTTAAAAGTGACATTTCGAAAGATATTTTCCATGTTCGAAAATCCCTGTGTTATATCGATCGACCGATTTTCGAGCAGAACTCAGCCACGGTTGTCAAAATCTAACTTTTTGTCTGTCACACAACCACGATCGGATAGCAGGGTTAAACCTAAGGCTCTGAACCATTTGGTGGATTTTTAACTTTTGGTTAAAATTTGACAGATGGAAAGTTATCGATTAACCCTGCTATCCGAGTATGGTTATTTTTAACAGACAAGAAGTTAAATTTTGAAAACCGTCGCTCGAAAACCGGTCGATCGACAGCACGGGGATTTTCGAATATAGAAAATAACTTTCGAAATGTCACTTTTAACCACGAGTTAAATTTAACTCAGCAAATGGTTGCCGAATTAAATTTAACTCATGGTTTTCGAAAGTTATTTTCTATGTTCGAAAATCCTTGTGCTGTCGATAGTCCGGTTTTCGAGAAGAACTTAGGCTGTGAACCATTTGCTGAGTTAAATTTAACTTGTGACATTTCGAAAGTTATTCTTGATGTTCGAAAATCCCTGTGCTGTCGATCGACCGGTTTTCGAGAAGAACATCAGCCACGGTTGTCAACATTTAACTTCTTGTCTGTCAGAAATAACCACGCTCGGATAGCAGGGTTAATCGATAACTTTCCATCTGTCAAGTTTTAACCAAAAGTTAAAATAATCCACCAAATGGTTCAGAGTCTAAAAATCATCTGTAAACAACACTAACCGCGATTGAAAAGCCAGAAGAAAAGTTCGCAAACACTGAGCGGCTCACGAACTTTTCCAACACCCAAACATAC